TTTTAGGGTGACAGGATTGGGAGCAGGCGGAAAGAAATGTGTTTGGGCTTGGGGCTCAACTGGCGAAGAAAAGTGGAATCCAGATTTGGAAATTGGCGTTGACTGGAAGTCACTCATACGTACAGCCCTTCTCCCACTGACTACTGACTTTTTTCCGGATGCACGAAGCATTAAAGAAGACTATTTTGTTCAGGTAATTTTCGACATTTTTGAAAAAAATTTGTATCGAAAAGTTTAAAAAGGATTTTTAAAGCTTAACTTCTGCTTGAAGACGCATTTTAGAATGATAATAATTTTTATTTCGTTGGAGTAGTCTATTGAATGTTTTTGTCACACTTTTCTGCAGAAATGCACGCCAATCCGTTCATAAAATATTGTTTGTTTTCTTTCAGGCCCATCAGTTCCCGGTATATCTGGATGCCATGCGTGAATGGCTGGGTGATCCGAAATGCGATGACTTGGAACGACTTCGAAATCTTCTCTTCGATCAACTCATTTGTCAGCGTCTGCAGCGAGGATTCCAGATTGTGCTGTTGAATAAAAGAATGATACATGCGGCTATTGGAATCAGTGTAAGCCACTAAAATATTGTTCTTCTTTTGCATCACTTCAGAAATCAATATTTCACGAGATTTAGAGATAGAGGGCCCGGCTGTGGGCTAATTTGATATTTGCGGCTATTCGCAGGTGAGGGTACTCGAATGGATTTTTCTTCCGAGGGCTGCTTAGAAACAAACTGTTGGCTATTCCAGACACTGATCACGTTCCTCATGCCGTCTTTTAAATTTCAGTGTATTGCCTAAGCTGATAAAAATTTCAAACCAAGAGTAGTTAAGAGTTTGGGCAAAAAATTGGTGGTAACTGGATATCGCAAACATAAAGTAACGGCGTATGCAGTAGTTAAACAAGAGTTGCGGTGAAAAGATAAATAACTTAGGAAGGAAGAATCTGAGATACTGATAGGGCAATACAGGGTTAGGAAACAGCGAGCAAAATGTGAAGAAACTGGGAGAGGGAAGAAGAGTGCGAATTGTGGTAGAGAAATCTGTGTCTGCTTTATTTTCATGTTCCTCCTCGTTATTGGTGTAGCTGGTAACCTTTCTCAGTCAAGTAATCCCATAGAGCCATTTATGCGAACTTGTTCTACGTTTTTGGGGTCTTTATAGGGCAATTTCATCATTATTCCAAAAACAATAAACAAGTGCACATTTTAAGATACCGGGAGACTCAAGTGTTTGTTCCTTTTACTTGGGTGTTTTTAATAGGCGTAGTATTGGAGGCTGTTATTTCAGGAGGAGCAATCAGAAAGGATGCAAAATTTGAAACTTGTTTCTCGGGAATGTTTTCTGTCGATCGGGAGAATTTATCATCGATTGTATATGGAGGGCGATGTATTAACAGTGGTTCAATTTCTGCCACGATTTAGAGAATATGGAGAGACTCCGGAAGCTACCAAGCGTAAACAATATACATACTGGTTTCAAATTCCGGACAACTCCGAGTACATTCCGAGCACTACGAGGTGCATCTTGACTACCGCATACAGTCCGTCTTTCTACCACACAGAGGGGACAGGCTAATTCTTTTTTTAGATTCAAAAAGTACAACATATCAAACCTGAACTGGAGTCTTCTGGACACGCAGCTCCAGAATGGCTACGTACCGCGCCTATTCAAGGACGATATGAGGTGCTTCGCGTCGAAGTAAGTGTTTTTACAGACTCTGATTTGTGGGGCCTGCTTTTTTGGGGCTACTTTAGAATTCACTTTTGTGTAGGATTTTTTTCTGCTTAGGTTTTTGCTCACTCCGTTTTGTGGATCGATAACGAAAACAATAGCGAATGAGCGCAACGGCGGTGATAAGTATGCAGCTCTCCGAGACCCGTCGTTTTCGAGGAGGCAAGAAGATGGGTTTTTGAAGTTCGTAGAGCTGTTGAATCGGTTCAAGCGAAGACAACCGATTCATAAAAAGTATTTTTTCATTTTCAAAAATAAATTTTTTCGTTGTACAAGAGAAGGCCGGACGACATTTCTGAGCCGAAAACTGCTGAATGTGCTGCTTCATTTTCACATTCATTTTCAGTAGCTTATTCGATTTTTGGATTTCTTAGCTAC